ACTGTAAGCATAGGATTCCTATGAAATGGTCATAATGGTCCTAGCTCTACAGCTGTTTAACCATGTCAGCATAACCATGTCATACTGGTCACACTAACCAGTATGGTTTGTTAGTGTGGTCGAGATGCTCACAAACAAAAGTCAGTTAAACCCAAAGGATTTCACTTCTCATTCCATTCCATTGACCTTGCTTCATGCAGACACACAACTTAATAGAAAGAGCTCTCAGTTCCAAGGGTTGTGCAAAAAGCTAGTGTTAGGCAAAGTTGCTAACTTAGTTCTCTGCATTCTCCCCTCTGACACTTCATTCTTCTCTGATGTGTGGGTTTTGACTCCACAGGGCCTCTGCAGAAGCTCCAGCTTGCCAAGCAGCTTCCATTCCTCACACATTTCTTAACAGCTCAAGGCATTCCAAGCTTGCTAAGTCATGACGTGGTAACTGTTGAAAATGGAGTAACACAGAGGCCCAGATAACCTAAACATCTCTAAGAGTAACCAAAAGTTGGCTTGTGTAGAACTTTCGGTCCTGTTAAAGCAAAATAGAAGAAAAGATATGGTTTCCCAAGCATCCTAATAGCACTTTCAACATACACTCAGCTTACTGATAGGGCCTTTCTGGATCATGGGTAACTTAAAATAATGGATAAAAGTAAGTAAGATCTTGCTTACTCATTTATTATCTCTTTCCTCAAAAAACTATAAGCTTCATGGGAGTGAGACCTTATCTGTCTTGTTTATCATATACTCCTGGAGCTTGAGAAAGCCTGACTAGAAGTAGGTACTCAGATTTCTTATTTGTTCAATCAATCAATGCAAAAGTCATTCATAATTATAAAATATAACTCATAGGTCTTTTCCCAGTAAATTTATTATTTTTAAACTACATTTCTACTTCAATTAATGCTAAAATAAATTTGAAGCTTATAAGCGTATTATTGGAGAACTGAAAGGTAAGAAAACTAGAATAGGAAAAATAACTGGTTGTGCAAAAATCTACAATCAGATCATTGTGAGGCAATTTTATTTCAATCACTTCATCAATTATTTTCAAGTGTTTTAGAACTAAGTACCTGCTTTTTTTTTTTTTTTTTGCCTGTCACATTCTAAATGCTTCTAAAGAAATTAAGACAAATAATTGGATGCATTATATATAACATTACTTATACCATAGTTTTTCAGGAAGACAATGAACTAAAACACATTTAGGTTCTATCGCTTGTGTGAGCCCACCAACAAGTGTGGTAACCTACCTTAGGCTCAAGGGCTTCATCTGTAAAGATGGATGACAGAACCTACCTCAGAAGCAATGAAGCTGATCAGACTATCTAGATAGTATCTAGCACAGTATCTGGTGAATAGTCAGCTTTTAATTAATAGCAATGCTTATTATTGCTGAAGGACTTGAATGTTTTTATTCTGGCTTAAAGGGAACTTTTCTGAATCTGTATATTTACTAAAAGTATCCTAAGAAAACACCACATGTACCATAGAATTTGACTGATCCACAGTAAATATGACTATCTTTATCACATCACTCCATTGATTTGACTTTCTGTAGCAACATTGTGAGAGCGGATGTCATTTTACTAAACTGGTGCAAAAGACACACTTACGCCTGTAAATTCTGTTTGCAAACTCCACTAAGAAATGACAGCTATTCCCAGAACATTTCTTGTCCTCTTCCTGCCTTACCCTTACAGAGAAAATACAAGCAATGGTTCTGAAGCACTAAAGTGGAAATTGTTTCAGAGACCTCCTTCTCAAGTCTCAACTGTTTTTCTCTTTCAAAGCACAGTCCCTCTAGAATAAGCCACTTCTCACGTGTAAGAGTTTAGCAGTTCTTCAGAAGTCAGCTCTATTAATTACGGACATTCTCGAAGGCAGTTTTGCTTTCTTTTTCCCTTCTGATATATTAAACTGGCTGTCAGAAATTAATTCAGAAAGGAATAACCAAATACCTCCAAATTAAATCAGTTGTTAAACACTGCTTGGAATATAATTTTTTGTTGCTAATACAGGACTACCAACCTACAACGTTGACTGACTTGTTATTTAAGAAGACACTGGGCATTAATATTGTACAACTGCATAGGCCTTTCCATAAAAAAATAGAAACTCTATTACTGGTTTATAATAAAAATGCTTAGATGTTAAAAATAGAATACTCTCCCTTCAGTGTTCATATGCCAGTTTGTATCTGTAAATAGCAAGAAATGAATGTTTTAAGATCCACCTACCAAACAAGAATTTAAAATGTCATACAATTGGTTTATATTATAATTAAAAACCTAGATGCTAAAAATAGAAAAATATCCTTGCAGAATTTATGTACCACTTCGTATCTGTAAACAATAAGAAACAAATGGTTTAGGATTCATCTGTAAAAGAATTTAAAATGTCTGGGGCATAGAGAAATTAATCTTTTTAAATAAAAATAATAACAATAAGACTTCAACTCCTAAAATTATTACAACCAGAAAAGTTCAAGAGTGAAAGAAATGATACATATCACCTCATCTATTTTTCCACCACAGGCAAACACTTTACGACAGATGAAAGTCTATTCTATCTTACACCAGAATTATAGATTTGCAATCAGGTAATAATATCTGCAATTATTTGCAAGAGTGGCATTTCATTATGTAGTTAATATTAAATCCTTTTCTTGGTTGTAAAGTCTCTTAAGCTCTCTCCAATGACTTCATGGGTGTAACACAAGAGCTTCCATCAGATGGAGGAGGGTTTGCTGCTGGCACCTCAGGTTTTTATAAGGTGTTTGCACTGTCTTTAAATCTATTTCTTCATAATGACATTCTCTTTTGATGCTTCGCTTTTGCATATGAAGCTGAAGGAGGGAATATGAGGTTCTTTGTTACCGTGATACGAGTATCAATCTTTCCCAGTACTCTCAAGTCTACGCACACAAAAGCCAAGAAGCCTCTTAAAAGAAGGTGATTTATGAACTTGTAAAACCCAAGTCAATCAATATGTAATGAAGTAAAGAGAAAAAGAAAGAAAAGCAGGCAGGTGTGACAGAACGCTTGGTCGATGGCAATCACTGACATGCCTGGATTGAAAGCATTCAGTTCACTTGCTAAGACCTCCAATTCTGATAAACACTGATTGATGAGTGAGAGACACATTTCAGATTGCACGTGCTTCTGCGTTTTCCTTCTCCTAAGTCACAGGTAGTGAGTGTACATACAAACATGGGCTGCCTTATCACAATCTCCCATTCCCCTTCTGATCATCGTTTTCATCTCAGTTACTCCCTGCAAGTTCATCTGAGGTAATGACGTCTGCTTCCAGAGTGATGCAGCTGTCAAAATGTTCCCGTATTTCATGAACAAAATGTAGGTACTTTAACTTACTTTTAAATCACAAATAAGTGTTTTAAAATGGCCACCCCAACCTTAAAATTTACCCGTCAATGTTATCAATGTTAAAATGCTGAAATTTAGATGGCCAATTTGTGATGGGCCACAGAATTCAGATGTTAGAATATTGGATTCTAGTCCTACTTAGTTGTGTGATCCTAAGTAATCCATTCACCCTCTCCGAACCTCAATCTATCTGTAAGAAAAGATTAAACCAGATTCATTCTATAGTTTCTTCTAGCCCTCAAGTTCCATGATTCTTAATCTTTTCCAGATCATTAATGTAGCTATTTGTTTGGAATTTATTCTGCCCCTTGGGAATTGTCTGTATGGGCCAGGTAATTTTAACAGGAAACTGTATGTCTTACTAAAATATATGTGAGTGTGTTATTTTGATGTGTTAAGTTTTGAGATCTTATGCTTGAACTCCAAGTACTGTTCCCATCAGTTGCTTCTCTCTCTTTTTCCAATATCTACTATTTTCCACAATGACAATATAAACAAAGAAAATTGGGGGTAATTTTAAAACAAATTTAAAAATTTTTTTCTTAATGTTTGCATTCTCAAAGTGCTGATGGGTGGCAAGGACAGGGTAAATTTTTCTGCATAGATTTAGTCAAAGGGTAAACTTTTATGCGTCCTAGCAATATAGATATGGTATTTATAACATCTGACAGCTATTCTAATAATCTTTCTCCAACATCCATTACCTTTCATATTTACATCTTTCCTTTGGCAATTCCAAACCGAAGGAAAAATATGCAGAGGGTAACGCCATCTGTATGAGACATGAAATCTAGTGTGAGATGTGTTGATTCAAATACTAAAAATGATACACTCTTCCAATTCATTTTCTGATTTTTCCAACTGATACATGAGAGTATGAGATATAAATGCAGCCATTCCTACAAAAAAAAAAAAGCCTTCAAAGATGAATTTAAAACATAGCTTTCTTTTCTGTGGGTGAAAGAAAATGTTTGCATAGTAAAAATGAAGGAAAAAGGAAAGATTAGGGCAATAGGAAGAAATTCCTTTTGAAAGATGAATCCTCTATGGGGAAACCATTTTAATCATTTCTTTTAAATCCTTCTTAAACGTTCATTTAAATGTTATTCTTATTTAATGTTAAAGTTTTTATCTACATGAACTTGCTTTGTTTGAGACAGGGTCTTGCTGTGTTACCCAGGCTAGAGTACAGTAACCATTCACAGGTATGAGCATAGCACACTACAGCCTCAAACTCCCGGACTCAAGCAATTCTCTAGCACCAGCCTACTGAGAAGCTGTGACAACAGGCTCATGCCACAGTGCCCTAAGGACTTGCATTTTTTAATGGAAAGGGATCTAGTTCATTTTTAGGAGGTAATCTGAAACTGGAAATCAGAAGCTTGAATAAAAAAAAAAAAAAAAAAAAAAAAAGGTGAACCTAAACATCTTACAATAGGCAGGCTTCCTCAAAGAAGTCAACCATAATACAGAGTTGAGTTTGCCAGCAAATGTTCATCAATGCCTAACAACTGGTAATGCTTGGTAGGAAGACAGACTTGCTCTCTCTTTTATAGAGGAAATTGAAAAATGACTCCCTTCTGATTTGGAAGGGATAGTCACAGAAGTTTAAGTTACCAACACAGAGGTATCCCATGTGTCTGTAATCTTTCTTCACGCTTCTGCCAGGTGGAAAAAATGAGGACAGAGTGAAAACGTGTGGTGAATTACTTCAGCAGTTGCAGAAGAGGCACGTCACACCCAGCAAGGGCAAAAGAACACAAAAAGGAGCAGCGATTTGGGAGTCCTACAAAAAACAAAAAAAAAAAACAAAGACATGGTTTCAAGGCTCAGCCATGTATCCAAGGCTAAGGCAGATACAGGACCAGGTAAGGCAAGAGCCTTCTTTATTTTGCCATCGTGTGTGAGTTCAAAGTCCACCCTGCTAAACTACCCAACACACTCACATATATGCCTGACAACACTCATTCAGCTCCACATCAGGAGCCTAATTCCACAGCCACACCCCAGACCCTTGTCATTCCTTGGAACTGCCACATCTCTGGAATCACTGAGACATCCCAACCTCTCTAATAATTTCCAATCCTACCTCTTCAACTCCCTTAGAGCTCCCTCTAAACTGGTTGACTTTCACCAAGAGTTCTAGTCCTTTGACCTGTGACAAATGTTATCAGTCTTAGTTTCATTTCTTTCTCCACCTAGTTTTCCTCAATTTTCCCATTCATGAGCATCTTAAATTACATCATTTCATATTCTTCCAACCCACATCTCTTGACAACCTGCAACTCTCAGTGACCCCTATGTTTTGTTTTCTATAGTGCCCAGGTTGCTGTGGACTACAGGAAGTTCCATGTAACACTGTAATGTACGTGTTCTAATATATGAGCTCTAACCCCAACACAGCCCCTAGTGCTGCCTGGTAAACTTTGTACTTACATTTGGTATACTTGCTGCCACATTGCCTACTCCAAACCTTCATCAATTTCCTTAGAATCTCTACCTTTTCCACAGTCATGTCAGTCTAGCCTAGCTGCCTACTTAATCAGTTAGAAAGTCACTCACCTTCTTCCTTCTCCTCCTCCTGCTGAAAGGATCCATATCCCCTCTTTGTCTTAGAGCAAATAGTTCCCCTTTTCCAGTCCAAGGTATATCAGCTGCACACTGTCTTTTCCCATCCTGTTTCTTTGAAGACTTTTTCTCATTTAATTATCCCTCCTCTCCTACATTTTCACCTGCTCCCTTTTCAGTACATGGCACAATTCATGGGGCACCACTCAGGAGACAATGTATCTGAAGCTCAGGCTCCCATTTCTAACAGCCCTCTCCCCTCTGCCTACAGACACATTTGTTTTCCTCGTAGCCTCATAAAAACCTTCCTGGACCCAACTTTCTCCTTAAGCTTCAACTTCAACCACCTCCCCTTTCCTTTACTGCCAAACTTCTTAAATGGGTATTCAATACTTGCTGCCTCAGCCTCCCTCTTCACTCCATCCACTGCCATCTGGCAGGGGTCCTTCCCCACATCCATTGAAATTGCTCAGTCAACAGTCAGTCATGGCATCCTAACTGCCAAGTCCAATGGCCTCTTTCAGCGTTCATCCACTTCCTCATCCTTAATCACTCTACTGACAGGAGATGAGAGTGATGCACGCTTTCATTCTTGAAAATCTGATTCTTTGGCTTCCAAGACACTCCCCTCCCCTGGGTCTTCCCCCATCGCACAGATCGCTCTTTCTCTGGTTCCTTTTCCTCTGCCCAATTCTTAAACCTAAATGTTCAAGTTCTGTCCTCAACTATCATCTTTTCTCACTCTAAAGCAGGGGTTACAAATTACAGCTCACTGGCCAAATCCAGCCAGTAGCCATTTTTTGCAAATAAAGTTTTATTCAAACATAGCCATGCCCCTTCATTCATATATTGTTTATGACTGCTTTCAAGCTACAAAGACAGAGTTGAATAGTTGTAATAGAGACAGTGTGGCCCACAAAGGCTAAAATATTTACTGTCTGGTCCTTTTACAGAAAATGTTGGGCAATCCCTCTCCAGAGAGCTTGCATAATGGCTCCCAAAGGGTGGTCCTACACCAGCAGCATTGACATTATCTAGGAATTTGTGTGATATACATTTTTTTTTATTATACTTTAAGTTCTGGGGTACATATGCAGAATATGCAGGTTTGTTTTATAGGTATATATGTGCCACAGTGGTTTGCTGCACCCATCAACCTATCATCTATATTAGGTATTTCTCCTAATGCTGTCCCTCCCCTAGTCCCCTGCCCCCCAACAGGCCCCGGTATGTGATATTCCCCTTCCTGTGTCCATGTATTCTCATTGTTCAGTTTCCACTTATGAGTGTGAACTTGTGGTGTTTGGTTTTCTATTCTTGTGTTAGTTTGCTGAGAATGATGGTTTCCAGCATCATCCATATCCCTGCAAAGGACATGAACTCATCCTTTTTATAGCTGCATAGTATTCCATGGTGTATATGTGCCACATTTTCTTTTTCTAGTCTATCGTTGATGGGCATTTGGGTTGGTTCCAGGTCTTTGCTATTGTGAATAGTGCTTCAATAAACATACGTGTGCATGTGTCTTTATAGTAGAATGATTTATAATCGTTTGGGTATATACCCAGTAATGGGATGACTGGGTCAAATGGTATTTCTAGTTCTAGATCCTTGAGGAATCACCACACTGTCTTCCACAATGGTTAAACTAATTTACACTCCCACCACCGGTGTAAAAGTGTTCCTATTTCTCCACATCCTCTCCAGCATCTGTTGTTTCCTGACTTCTTAATGATCGCTATTCTTACTGGCATGAGGTGAGGCTCATCATCACTGGTCATTAGAGAAATGCAAATCAAAACCATAATGTGATATACAATTTTTAATCCCCACCATAAGCCTACTAAATCAGAAATTATGGGACTAGGTATAGGAATCTATGTTTTAAAAAATGTTTCAAGTGATTCGGATGCTCATTAAAGTTTGAGAATTGCTGGTCTATACAATCACCCTGGACAATCTCCAGGACTTTAGTTACCACCGATGCACGCACTGGTGACTCCTGATTAAAGCTCTACTGTGCTGTAAATTAGTATTTCCAACTAACTACCAAATATTTCCACCTGCAAGCTCTTTTAGTCATTCAGCAAAACCTTTCTCAATACCTTTTATAGGGTAAGCTGTGATCTGTGCAGGAGCCAAGTTGCCTGATAAAATATGTCTCGTGCAATATTTGGGACATACTTGTGCTAAAGAATTAGTTGTTGTGTTTCAAATTTAACTGGGAGTCCGGATTTTTATGTACTCAATCTAGTAATCCCATAAAGGGGTTATAAAAGGAGCACTGAAAGGGTTTCTGCCCAAAAGAAGCACAAAGTTCAGCCAGGGAACCAGTGATATAAACACAGTAAAAGAAAATATGATAATCTCAAAATCTCACCTTTCAAAAATTTTCCTCCCTATTCTGATGTTATTTAACAGCGGCACGGTCTTTGTGAGTTAAGCCTCTTCAAAGTTCTCTTCTAAATACCCACACAAAAAAGAGATTCTGACTCTGGTGTTGAGTGGTAAGGCAGAGAGTAACATTCTAATCAGGTGTGCACATAAGAAATTGACTAGAATATGAATTATAATGAATAATAAGACAGACATTAAATTTATTTGGATGCTCTTTTCCTTAAATTTTGATGTTTATCAATTGTTACATGCAAGGAGTAATAACATAGTTGAAGCTTTCTATTTTAAAATATTTTATTAAAGATTGGTTTCATTGTTTAAAAATGATACCCAAATGAAAAGTTCATGGTTTGGAATCTGGATCTAAAACTAAAGTCCTTGGATTATGGTTCAAACTCCAGACCACAAACCAAAGTACTGTGGCTCATCTGGTAGTATTTTATCCTATTATCAGGACAAGGATCCAGGGAGAACTCTAACGTTGCATTTGCAAACACTGATGACTAGAGTCAGTGTGAAGCATTCTATTAACCAGTATCCTTTGTAACAAGAAAGCAGATTGCTGAAACAATAAATTCGGTAGGATGCAAAATGTTTAACCTATTAATTTTTTTAAACTTTTCTGAAAGTTTTCTATTTAGGAAAAAGACAATTTCCTAAAACATAAAGCAAGTCATTTTTTTAAAATCAAGGCTTTCAGCAAAAAACATTTCTATCTAACTCTCAGGAAATTCATTTTTAAAACTTTTCCCAAAATCCCCAAAAGAAAACTTAACTGCTATTATAATTCACCGACGCCTGCACACATTCAATGGAATCATCTGTGGTAATGGAAACAATGACAGCAGAGACAAATGAAATTCAGACTTTATCCCAATTTAGCTAATACATACTCTTTGTCTCCTCTTTTCATTTTATTCAATATTGGTTGACTTCAATTCAACAGCTCTTGTACTCAACACTGGTTTAGGTGGAAAAAGGAAGACAATAGGAAACGGGCAGCTTCCAGGCACTAGGATAATCTACAAAAAGAATACAACTATTACCTGATTTTACTTTTCTAGCATTGTTTCATAATCCCAAATGTACAACTCATAAATTATATTTGTTTCTTTACAAAAAATAACTTGTAAAGTTTAAGTGAAAGATTTTACCACAATTTAAAAAAAAATCCTCTGAAAAGTACACATTTTTTTTTTCCCTAGAACACATCCACTAAATAAAATAACATTTCCTTCTAATTGTCCCTTGGATAAATACGAATTGCTAGGACAGATCAAGAGCATCACGCTCAGAACTCTGACTCTTTAAGTAGTAGTTATTGAATAATAATTCATGCCCAGCTCCTATATCAGGATGTACCAGCACTGAATAGAAGTCCTATTTGCAGGGGTGACCATAAGATTCAGTTATGAAACCAATTCCCTGGTAGTTCAGAAACACACTTTCATGTAACAAGCAGAACACCTGAACTACAGCAATATTAATTTTTCTCTCTTGATAATTGCCTATAGGCCTTATTTCATCCATAGACCTTAAGCTCCTTGAGGTCAAGAACAGTGATTTATTCATCTCCTTGACCTCCTAGCACCCAGCAAGCTTCCACAGTATGATAGGCTCCTGAGAACAATTATGTGTCAGTGAAGAACAGCATAGGAGATGAAAGATCCTACCAAAAAAAAAAAAAAAGGTGGTTCTAAGCTTTTACTTTAAAAATTGCACTTAAGTTGCCATTCAAATACTGTTCCACTATTTTAACCACTAGTAGTCTTCTATTGTCCTTTATCATGATTGTGAAGGAGTAATGCCTCTCTCAGCAGAATTCAAGATAGCCTGTCTTTATCAGATGTCTGAGCAGTCCCTCACCATCAGTAGACAGATAAGACACTTTGGAAAGGTCTGGTTTATAAAAGTCTAAAGGAACATCTTTAAAGAATTTTTTGTTTGATTCAATACCTTAATCCAGGGAAGTGTTCTTAATCCTTGAAAAGAGTCAAATTCTCATCCTAGAGTTCTCAATCTTAAACACAATAGTCGCTCAAATCACCTTTGCCATCAATGTCATCATTCTATTTCTCAGTGTGTAAAAGCTCACGGTGTAAGATGAATGTCCTTCTTTCCAGTTCCTAAGCTTTCTTATATCAAGTATAAGAGTGTAAAGTGTGCTTTCCTTGAGTTAGCAGCTATTTTAGACAAACTCTCAGGGCAAACTCATTGTCTTGACAGCTTTGTATCTGCAGGTGTGTAAAAATAACTCCGCTGTATCAAAATAATATAAAGAGAATAATTACTCAGTTAGTTAACCATTTAAAACATGGAAAGTTTCTCAAACTGCAAAAGGCTCATTCAAATGGGAATTTTTTAAAAATTGTACTTTTACAAGCATATTTTAAAATAAAAACATCTATCAGACGAATGACTGATAAATAAATAACACCCTTTAACTAAGTAAATGAAACACCAGCAATATTCTGTATTCACTAAAGGTAGTTGATTCTTACTGAATTAAAATAGGATCCCTCCATCTTGAGTAACTATTAACACATCTGCTCAATCAGATGAAGTCAAATGTGAATTACAGAAAATTTAATTTTAAAAAAAGTATTACATGAACATTTACCAGCACAGACCCACATTTTCTGTGAAATATCTTTAAGAACTCATCACAGATGCAAGTAAATAAAATATCTATCTAAAAATAAAGTATTCTGCAATCATAAAAATACTTGAAGCAGCAAAGAAACACATCACAAATGAGCTTTTGCAATACTGTCTTGGCATATAATTAAGTGTATCTTTTAAATATGAGTACTCCATTTCCTGAGGCACCCGTAATGCTAAGAAGCAAAAGAGAGTTGCAAGGAGATCCCTAAAATGAAAAGCCTTACTCATAAGGAGGAGTTCCCAAGAAGGAGCTGTTAAGCTCAGCAGCCTCAGATAGAAAGTCCAAAGCTAACAAAGAGTTAAACACCCAGGATAGCTCAGTAATGAATGCTTAGTAAGTTTGGCCAACGAATATCAAGTAGATACCAGGGCTAGAGCAACTGCTAAAGGGATGACCTCCTTGAATCTCATTTGCATAGCAATGAGATGTCACAAAGGCATTAAGTCTGAAACTGCAATGCTGTTTCTAATCCATGCTTTATTTTGTTGTGACATTAAGCAAACTGCTTTACAAAGTAAAAACAGAAATGATTCCAGCAATGTGGCAGGAGGGGGGGTATAGGGGGATTCTACAAGGATGAGGATTATAAAAAAACTGGAAAACAGTTCTGCAAAAAGCTACTGAGTCACTGAGCAAAACCAGCTGAAAAGAACAATAAAATAATAACGTCCCAGGATATTTCCAAAAATGAGACCAGGTAAGTAAGTTGCTGGCTTTTGTCAACGGATATATATTATTTGAGCCAAGAATAATGCATGTCTACTCACAACAGACAAAACAATATGTCAATAAAATGAGCCAAACTCGCTCAAAATGTATCTGTTACGACCTTAGGCTGTATAGGCTGTTGTCTACATTGATGCAAAAACCTTCCATTACAGTTTGGGATTTGGATTTGTTTATTTATTTATTTATTTTTGGTCTTATTCTGTTTTAAGTAATTGAGCTTGCAAGCATTACTATTAGTTACTACTAAGGGAGAGTGGGGGCTTTTACCTCTACCATTGAAGAATGCAACTTCTTTTAAATACACTGGATTAAATTACACATACAGCCATGGCTGCAAAAGAACAAGAAAAAACAGCATTGTAAGTCAAGCTTTTGTGTTACAAGCAGTTACAAACTGAAAAGACATTCAAGAAAATCTTGAATATTCAAGTTCTATCTGTATTTTTTAAAAAGGAGAAGAAAAGGAAAATGTTTCAAAGCTTTAAATGTCACAAGTTCACTTCTTTCCTAGAGTCTTACACATCAAAATTCAAACTCACAGTACAATTAAATGAAAAAAAATTTCAAAACTAAAAAAACCTCCTTGAACACACTGCTTATCCAGTTACAGTTGTTTCACTGCAGTAATTACCAAAGGACATAAAGATATCTGCTCATTTCTGTCATAAAGACAGGTAAAATGAAACTGAACTTTTAGCTGCCTATTACTCAAATTCCTGAACCATCTTTCGAAAGGCATCAAAAATAACTCTTACCTTAGTGATTCTGATAGAACCTCAGGTTATTCACCAGACATTATGAATCTACTTGAGGCAATGAAATTAATATTTCAGTAAGTCCTCTTCCACAAAACAGGAAGCCTTTTAGTAATGACCTTGGACCAGATAATAGGAAAGGAAAGAAAAGCTGGGTCCAAAGCCAGAGGGTAATTGTGATTCAAAGACTCTTTTATGCAAATAAGACCCCTAATCAAGTTAATGCCGTTTTCTACATTTTATCTTCCATCTTTTTATTTACATTCAGCTGAGAAGCCAAAATCAGAAAACAGTAGATTTCTAACTTCCTAATTCAACCTCTCCTGTGCAACACAGCCATGGGGAACTGCATGACAGTCATTCAGAATCTTATAATAGCCCATTCCCAGGAGTAACACGACATGGACTCAGAGCAATTCTGAAGGTAGTTCCAGCAACTGATAAATTACTCAGGCAGGGAGCCATAACACACATTTATTGGGCACTGCTTAACTTTTCCACTTCCTTTTGTGGAGTCAGACAGCCTGGAAAGGGAAAAGTCATTTTCAAAAGGGAACATCTGCACTGTTGACTCAGGAGATGCTCCATTTGCTTCTTGCTTCCTGGGTGCACACTCAAGTTTTAGAAACTCAAACCATATTTGCCATGCACGGGCAGGTGTCTGATGGGGTACTACAACCTGGAGAATCTGGATGATTCTCCAGGATCTCTATAGGATCACTATGAGTAAGGCTGAAGACACGCCAGAAACCCAGAATCCACTAAGAAAATAAATAGCAGGTGGCTCAGGGAGCTCTTTTAGGCAGAGGGGTAAAGAGCACAGGTTGTAGAGTTAGGATCCTATTCTGACACCTCCTGAACAACGTTACCTTGGGCAAGTCACTTAGCAGCTCTATGCCTCAATTTCTTCATCTGTAAGGTAGAGATAATAATAGTATTTGCCTCATAGAGTTGTTGGGGGATAAATGAGATAATACACGTAAAGCTCTCAGCAATGTTAGTTGTTATTAACAAATGCAAAAATGAAAGAAAAGTTGCAAATGGCAAAGTGATAAACAAATGGACATTACTGTTATTAATATTGTCAAGAACTCCTTTTTGATAGTCTACTATCAATTCAATACCAACTGACCAGCAGGAAGTTTAGCAGTATTCTCTTTTTTTCAGGATTTTTTATCCACATTTTTTTTCCCTCAAGTTTCCCACATAAACTTTACCATTCCTATGGTGAAAATAAGATAACAGAAACAGCCCTTCATAATTAAACACTTGCATAGTATTTGTTCTCATTACTATTATTATTCAAATAATTTGGGGCAGTATAGTTCTGTGTAGGCTTCTCAAACTTGGATTGACAGCAGTTACAATAGTAATTCTTAAAGTTCCTAGGCAAACAAAGATGAAATCTGGAGCATGAGCCTTTCCCCATCTCTAACAGCCCCAGGCCACCCTAAGTAAGCATGCAATCTAAGCAAAAATAAAAAACAAAACACACAAACAAAACCTGCTTGCTATGCAAACGAAATTTCAACATACCCTCAGTTCCTTTTCCAACCAGATTGGCCCCTCGGATTCCCTATGTGGACATTCCAGAGGTGTCTCTAAGTGTATACTGGAAGCAACTTTTGGGTGGTCAATTTTACTTAAAGATTTTGGGTGGGGGGGAACTTAAGTGCTTTGATAACTAAGTTAATATGTTTCACATTTAAAGAAGCATATTATGGAACAGACTGTAAAATTAGCATAATTTTTGAAGAAAAATAGCCCTCAAAGAAATCCACCTGATACTCATGTTCTATCTTTGGGCCCATACCCAGATTCTGAGAATATGAGGCCATCCTCCTTTCCTACTATGGGGGTTGCTACTCTTGATGTTATCATTATCAACAAGAGCTTTAGATTCAAATCCCAACCCTGCCAGTTAAGGCCTATGACCTTGTTTCTGCTCCTAACCATATCTTTGTCACCTGTGAAATGATGATATTAATATCTACTTCATAGGATATGGGTGATACCAGAACAAAAGTGCATATGCAAACAGCATGATAAAGTAGATACTCAATAAATTGTAGCTATTTTCTTCTTTCCTCACGGCATATTCCCCTTTTCCTACACATTATTCAGGATCTCAGATAATGATACTCTGAACTCCACCAAATACCACCTATAATTTCTCTTTAAGATGCTAAATTATTCTACCATCCAAAATCTAAAATATCTCATTCATTCATTGGACCAGTATTCACTGAGTATTTTTTGGCAGGCACTGTTTATGAGTGAAAGGGCTCAAGAGGCAAGAAAGTGTATGTGAATACACCATTTCAGGTCACCATTCACAGATGGCAGGTCTTCCGTGACACCAATGGCTTTAAAACCTTCTCATTTGGAAAAAAGAGGGAAGCAGCATCAAAACATGCTGGAATTCCAGGTAACTCCAGCGTGGTATAATATTCTTACCAGTGTTCACTAGGATACTGAAGTCCAAATTTAGTTCTCATCAGGGATATTAATGATGATTAAAAGTTACGTAAAAGTCCAAGAAAAATAAAGAAAAAGCCCCCAGTCCCAAACAAAGGAGAGTCACCAAGTAGAAACTGTTCAAACTCGGTCACCAGCATATCATCTACACAGCTTGCCTGCTTACTATCCAGTTGAATGCTAACATTGATCATACCATTTACACTCAGCACTCACAGACTGCTCCAGCCTGCCCGGAAATCTGCATGGAAGCAAAGGATCAAAATACCCTTTCATCTAAAGAACTGTGAATTAACTCTCTGCCTTTTTAATTACTCTCAATTACTTTCCCACTATTTATAAGGGTTTTTTTCTTTTGCATAACAAAATCCAACTCTAATCAATATATGCAGTATATCCCAGTTGATTAGTATAATTCTTGCTCCACCATGATGCTGGAATTGTGCCAGCCTTACCTTGCACACAATTAAATGTCTGGTAATGCCTGCTGCTACCCAGCAGGCCTCATGAGTTAATAGGGAAAAAACGGGATTTACATTTGCCTCTATCAGCCCCTATGTGCCCTTGCTCCCTCTCATCTGCTTATAGACACGTACAAAGTGTGCCTGGAGAAATAAAGGCCTAAAACAATCACACAAAACTAAAAGGCATGGGAACATGAAAGAAGGATCTCCAAAGTCTAACTCGTCATCTTCCCATTTCAGTAAATCTCTCCAGAAGTAAGATACCCCTTTTTCTACTCATGATTCCAACATTAAACTGTGAGCAAATTCTGAGTACAAGAAAGATTCAGGGATCTAGACTCCAATATTATGAATATGTGCAGTGTACCTTCAAGCCAATTTTTAATAAACACAAATCACTTAATAAGAAATTAAGAGTATTACACATTTCTCATGCTCCTGTGGATTTGGTGTTAATGAGATTTTGTTTGTTAAGCTCACAGAATAACAAAGTGTCTAAAAGACAGACACAGTCTTTTCCAATTTCTATTCATTCAGGAAATAGTTATTGAACATTTTTTGTAGTAGGACATTCCCAAGACACGCACCTGCTCACATGTTGATTTCACCAGCCTGCCCCTCAAATAATGCATATAGTGCAGTGTAATTGAAAAAAAAAAAAAAAAAGGAGGGGGGATTTAAATTTTACAAGACTTGCATTTTTTCTATTCTATTATGAACTGTCAGATTACTTCATACATTCGCTTTACATAGACAAGCTTTATTATGTACCAGAAACTGTACCTCCAACCTTTAGAGAAAGATTTTCTTGCCCACAATGGTCACTACAGAGTGACCTATACCCCTGTGAGCCTCTGGGCCTCAGAATATACTGGAATGCCTCAATCCCTTATGAAGTGTGTTGACTGTAACGTAGTGTAATAATAGTTACAGCACAGGTGTTTATGAATAATTTAATTTTTAAACAGAATTGAGAAAGGCTCCAAGGATCCTTACAATAATAACATTCCTACTTATGTGTTCTATGCTTTCTTGAGACACAAAAAACTCAGCTCTGATTTATACTCCTACCTCCCACTCTATTT